GAGATTGATCTGATTACTTTGCTTGAAAATCAAAAAATGGCATGGCGAAATGCAGGATCTGCTGCTCGCTCTTTCGTTTCCGCTACCGCTAGAGCTCCGTCTCTCCGATCTCCGCCGGCAACGCTTCCGCGACTCCGTCCTTCTCAATCCTCTTTGCCTCGCCGCCGATTTGCCTCTTTCACTAATCCCAGGTCTCACAATCTCTTTTGCCTCCATTTCTTAAACTCGATCCTCTGATTTGTGTAGATAATTTCTGGGTTTATGCTCTTTTTTACCAATTGATCTTCTTGCTCGAAAAGTTGGATATTTTATCATGAAACGACATGATATTGTTGTGGTTATTCATGGCATGACTTAAGATTTGCAAGGCTTGAACATTTTTTGGTAGATGATTTCTGTGTAAAATCCCTATTTGGGAAGAATTAAAAATGTTAAATTTATCAGATTAAGATATGATTTTTTGTTGCTTGGTATAGGAATATGGGAGAGCTTGGATGCGTACAATCTTTCTTGCCTCTGTACAATGTTGTAGCTGCAGCTCGACTCACTTCTCACCTTAACGTTAACGTGCGAGCTTTCTGCGAACTCCCTAACGGTACCTTCCAACGCACTTGTCAAGATCGCTAAATAGTCTCCATTTGTGAGTGTTACCGTTCTTAGGATTACATTGGAAATAGATTAGTTTTTTTTTCTTTTCTTCTTCTGAATAATCTTTGTTAAAGTTTCTACTTTGGAACAATTGTGTGCTACTCTTTTTGTGCTGAAGTAGGAATAAAAATGGATTCGTTCTTTCCTTTTTTTCCTCGTAATTAAGTTTTGTGTTAAGAACATATTGGGCTTATGGGACTTGATAGGGAATGGAAAAGATGGGTGATGGAAGTGGATTTTCAGTCGCTGTCAAGAGAGGTGCTACTGCTTTGTAGGTTTCTTGTCCATTTTTGTTTTTGTGTGTGTTTATGTTTAGGAGCTACAAATTTAGACCCTCTTTTTCTCTTCATTGGTTTTGTGTACGCAATCAATCAATACGGTAAAACATCCGATCAAGTATTTTGGATATCAAGTTTATTGCCATGCTACTCAATCTAAAGATATGAGTTGTTATTCTGATATAATGCATTGAGATATGCAAACCTCAGCTTAGCGTAAAGGTCATACCTTTTAGATACATGAAGAACTTTAGTTCAACATAGATAAGGTTTATGCTTGTATTATTTATTATAAGCAATCTCGGGTATAACACGTTGGTCATGGTATCGAACCATCATCCATCACACAAATATGGAGTTGTATAACACATTATCATTTTGAATTGCTGATTTAAGTTAGGGTCTGGAGATCTGAATCTGATTCAAAGATTTGTTTGACATTGATGATTGCAGGTACTTGAATGCCAAAGTGAGTGCATCAGTCATCTTGAAGCAGATGGAGATTTTTAAAAGGGGTGTACCAAGAAGAACACATT